AATACTAATCATATACTCGATTGCATGGCATATACTTTTTATTATTTTATTGTCTACGGCTCGACATTATACATTGAGATATACAATACAGATCAAACTATTTTAAGTTATGAAGTTATGAAACGTTATAACTTGCATATTTTATGGAAAAAGTAACTAAAATAAGAAAAAATTTCAATTATTTATTACTGATTTGTCATTATTAGAATTATTAATTATATATAAAATTGTTATTTATATACAACCTTATTTTTTTATTATAGTTACAGCAACATTTGATCCGATCTAGAATGTTCATCCAAGCAATTATAGCAAATAATCATAATATTTGAATAAAAGGTTAATAGTTTTAAAGTAAAGTTAACAAAACTTTATTTTGTAACTTTTTGTAACTTTTGGTAATATAATATTACATTAAGAAATTTCCAATAAATTTTATAATAAATTTGATAAAAATTATTTAAATAATAAAACTAATGAAACATTGATGTTTTTAATCTTGTATTTTAATATAGATTATACATGATTTCATAACACATAAGCAATAATAATTTCTATTTATTAATCACAATACTATTCTTGTGTTTGATGTAGTAAATTGAAAGCGGAGTATGACATCTTAAGTAACTGTAAACAGTAAGCATCTAAAATTATTTGAAATATGTACCATACCATTAAAAAATAATTTTTGTTGTTTTAATTGAAATACTGACAGCTACAAATGAGTCCAGATTCATTGTAAGTATATACATGCTACTAAATTCGATAGGCGCCATTGCACGTTTCATGATTATCAGGAGATCTTTTTTGCTTCTATTACTAAGTGTCGACCATTCTACATTGTTATAAATACTATTTGCCAAATGAAGACTCTATGAGTAATGCACGTCATGAAACAAAAATATAATATTTCTTATATAATGTTGCACGTCATGAAACAAAAATATAATATTTCTTAGTTTTTTTAGTAATATATTTCTATTATTAATTATGATTAATTATATAATTATATATAAAATGTTCTGAAATTCGCGAATCAAATACCATAGCAAGACAGTTCTCAAAAAATAAGTAATAAAAGTATTTGTCATTTTTCATTCCAAGCAGTAATATTTGAGATAATACTTCAAAAATCAGAGATTATCATTAAATGGTTATTGAATTTAACTAAACACATCCATGAGTCACGGCATCACTTATATTAGTGAGGACGTTTTAAATACTCAATAACATTGATCAACTTTAAAATATTATTTAAAAAATTACATACTGTTTAAAATAAAAAATACAAATATTTTTATTATTTTTTTTAAAGATCTTCTTGTTATAATGTTTCTTTTTTGTTATAATATTTTAATTCGTGAATTTCACTCTATATAAATAATAAATAAATAAATTTAAAATAAAATATGTACTTTTATTTTAACTTCATTTCCAAACCAACAATAGATGAAAATTTGTGCTAGGATGGCACCTGTATACAGCATCAATGAAACAATGATCGCATAATCCTTTGCCATAGCTATTCGATATAAATTCGAGCATACCACTAACATGCTCACCGCAAATTGAAGAGCAATTATTTTTGCAAACATGTTATTCACTGTATATGCATATCTGTGATTAAATAAGTGAAATTTTGTATATGTTTTAAAGTGATTCATAAATTGAATTCTTCTTATAAAATTAAATAATAGTATAATAAAGATATATATCAAATTTTTTATTCTTCTTGAGAATTTCAAAATGTAAAAGAATTAATTCAAAATTCATTTGATATATTAAAATTAGAATTTTCTGTAAAACATTTTGCAAGTATGTCTAAATTAGTTTTGTATAATTTAAAGAATGATTGTTATGAAAATAGGATATTGCACACGCACGCATGCACACGCGCGCAATATCAAAAAACATTTTTAAAATAATAAAATTACTTAAGAAACCAACTTAAAGATACGGTTGTGATGATAAATACAGTCGTGTAGAATACTTTCATCATGCGTGATTTTTGTCAATCGATACTCCAAAATTTCAATTTGGCAGCAGATATGCAATAAAAGTCCGCAAATTACACTCTCACAAGCGACATTTACTATACCGGAGATTGCCATGCCTATCAATTGGTGAATGTATACAAACAAATACACAGCAGGATATGAATAGTTGAATGGCACCCATGCTTTATATGTTAAATTTCTATTTTTAAGTTCTGTACAAACAGATGTCAAAACTATTGATGTAATCGTCATCAGAACGAGAATCAAGTATCGCAACGTATTATTTCTATAAATAATTAAAATTAGTGTAAGTAACCTTTTTACATAAATTTTGTTTAATTTTAATATCTTTAATTATATATCCCTTTAATTATATATTACATAAATTTTGTTTAATTTTAATATCTTTAATTATATATCCGTATCTTTAATTATAATATAATATATTATAATATTTTTTATAAATATTTTTTTATAAACATAGAAATATCTCTTAAAAAAAAAACAATATATAATGTCAAACAAAATATAATATTTGAATAATCAAATTCTATATGTAATTGTTCCATATGTAATTATTTGTACAAAACTAATATATAAAATGTGTAATGTAATTATATAAAAGTACTAGTTTACAAAATTTAAAAATTGTAAGAAACATTTTAGTATTAAAGAGAAAATTTGTTCTTGTAAAATCATTCAACTTTTTTTATTTGTGCGCCTTTAAAATAATACTTACTGTACCATTTTCTCAAATTTTTGTTGAATCATTATTTCACGTGTTTCACATGCCGCGAAAGGTTTTTCCATAAGAATATTGATTTTCACCATGACATTTTTGCGATCTATCCACATATAAACTTGTTTATAGCCTGCGACGAATACAGTCAACATCATGTATAAAGAATCAGTAAATTCGTCAGAATTTTCAACATTCAATACGATGTTCATAAATTGAGATATCGAAAATATATATAATGCAGAGACAAGAAACATTGCGTAAGTTTTATAAATTATATGTTTAAATAGCGACGTCCATGAAAGCGGTTGCCAACATCCAGCAAATGCACAAATTAGAAGTGTAAATTTCAGCACCCGCATTTCAGCCTCTTTAATGCAATTATGTCTATATCAATTGTTATTGATATTTAGTAATTGTATTATTTTAGATTATTATATTATAAAATATTTTTCTTTTAATAACTATGTGTTATAAATAAAATTAATATATTGAAAATATTAATAAATATTATTTTTTAATATTAATAAAATATTAAATATTAATAATATGTTATTATTTCAAAAATTAAAATTTTATCATATAAGTTTAACTATTTTTTTAAATTTTATTTGCTGTTAACTTAAAGTATTTTTTATTTATTTTTTGTTATATTTTTTAGCATAATTTTATTTTATAGATACTTTAGAGATATTTAATATTTAACAATGAAATTTAAGTATTAATTTTATGTTTTAAATTTTTGATTTAAGTTTTAATTACAATCTTAAGAAATCTGTTAAAAAAAATTTTCATTTACATAATACAAATATAATTTATTATATTATAAGTAAGCATCAATTATAAAATCATTTATTATAATTTTATTTTTAATACCAAACTTTTGATAAGCATATAATATTTATGCACAATACACTTACGAAGTTTCGATTTCTTTGCACTACGAATTATGTCTACATTTAGCTTTTTATTTTTAAATTAATTTAAATTATTCTTATAATTTTAAAAAGCATTGATCATATTCTGATTGCAAATCTTGGTTTTAAATAAAATGAACATGGTTTAAAAGAAGAAGAAATATTCTTGAAATATCTATAGTCTCGCGATTTTGTGACGATATTATTTATATATAGACGTCTTTGATGTTATAACATCCATGTGTATGACTAGTAATAACGTGAAATATTTCTTTTGTAATATGTGAAATTGTCTCAGAATATGTGCTCTATTGAAGTTGGACTAATGTACTATTACTATTTTCATAATAACAGTGAGAGACAGAAAGAAGACAAATATGAAGAAAAAAATAAGTTACGGAGAATTTTAATTCTCAATAAATCATTGATTGCCAACTATTTGTAGAATATTCCAATACAGATTTTTTATTATGTATGTAAAAATATTACATTTATTACTTTTTGCTGTAATTTTATTAGATATGTACCTTTGAATGTTGGTTAACGAATCATTAGTTGTAATTTACCTCTATGAAATTTTAATAATGATAGTTCATACACTCAGAGTTTCACATTTACTACACATTTACTAACTTTTGTTATTATTACGTATGATCTCTCTTGCATATATCGAGATATGTTAGAATATTATGTATTTCTTTTTGATTCTTACGTTTAGTCTCTTTTTCTTCTTCTTCTTCTTCTTTATGTCAAACAAAAATGAGATAAGAAAAATCTTAAATTTTGAATATATTAATTTGTTGTACACACACACACACACACACACACACACACACACACACACACACACACACACACACACACACACACACACACACACACACACACACACACACACACACACACACACACA